TTGTGCGACCTGCCACCGCTGACACCAGCCGAGCTCCATCCTCTTTGGAATCCCCCTTCAGGTAGTTGAAGGCTGCTATCAAATCCCCCCTCATTCTTCTCTTCTGGAGATTAAACAATCCCAGATCCCTCAGCCTCTCCTCATAAGTCATGTGCTCCAGACCCCTAATCATTTTTGTTGCCCTCCGCTGGACTCTTTCCAATTTTTCCACATCCTTCTTGTAGTGTGGGGCCCAAAACTGGACACAGTATTCCAGATGAGGCCTCACCAATGTCGAATAAAAGGGAACGATCACGTCCTTAACTCAGGATTTGGTCTAATGTATTTTGAAGCTCAATATGCTTCTCTTTAGGTATTTTCTTGTTTAGCCCATTCTACCTCAGTCAGCCTTCAAAGATAGGGGTGGTTCTAGGCCAAACCACTCCTTTTATCCAGGCCCACTTCCTGCTTTTCCCTTCTGGCATATCTGTGCTGTAGTGACATTACATTATTCCCATAAATGATGACGTACACCTTAATTATAACTGGTGGTAAAACTTTATTATTCAAGTTTAGATGTAACAGACATCTTTGCTGCCTGAAGATTGTTTGCATAAGAAATACACCAAGAACATGTTTGTGAGTAGAAATGAACATGCACTATGAGAAAAAAACATAAAACATAAAACAAAAAAAACCAACAACAGAAAACAAAAATCCCCAACATATCCATGTTTTGTAAGGACAGGACAAGAGCCAACATTCTAGAGTCAAATCAGGGCTACAAGTTTAAAGGTTTTTTTTTTTAAAGTCAACATGAAATCATTCCATATGAAAAGACATTTTCCCCCTGCTGGTGAATTCTGCTGTAAGTAAAATTTCCAATGGAATTTTGAGAGGTTTCATCTTCCCCACCCTGCCCTTCTTTCCATTAGGCGCTCAGATACCATGGTGATGGGCACAGTTGAAAAACCGGAATACAACACAATATATGGCTGCTGCCACACAGTGTTTATTCTAAGCATTTTGTCATACATTTACTAAATGTATTTTTAACTACAAAACTTGTGATATTTATCTGGTTGGGAACCACTAAACTTTTTTTTAGTGTCTAAAGAAGAGACAAACCACGTCACCCCTGATATAGGCTATGTGTTATTATTAATTATATAGTACCCCAACAGCTGCCAACTCTTGAGAGCTCTATGAATCTAATGGGTCCCAATAGGTAGGAGGGAATCCCACTCTTGGGTGGAAAATTCTATGCAAATCACCCCTCCTGGCCCACTCCTTCTTCGTGAAGTACCTGTGATTCCACCCTGCCAAGTTTTTACATAAGGAAATCATGGAACTAGTGTGACTTTTTCATCTGTTGCCTTTATGGGAGGTAGGGCTGACAAGTCTATTGCTGACACCTGCCACAAATAACTTTCTCCACTGGAGTGGAGAGAAATGCATCCACCTCTCCTGGTTCTGTAGGAGTAAACCTGTAGTCTCTTTCACTTTTCCTGACCAGTATTAGGAATAAGATGTCAAGTCAGCCAAGAAAAGTCAATACACAGGCAACAATGGGAAGATAACTACAGAAGAAACATGTATTTTTAAATAGCTGTAGTTGACATGGAACCCAAACAGATAGTAGAATATATCCTCTAACATGGCAAGCAGGTATTTCTGTCTAATAAATAATATTGCACAGTCAGAAGATGGGCTGCTGAGCCTGTCTTTGACCCTCCCACCATCTGCAGGTGCCAAATTGGGTCACCACATTTCATGGCGTCTACATTTTATCACTGTATATTTATCTTAGTGCTGATCTTTTGTCCCCTTTTCAGCTTTTTTCTATCAACTGATCTAAGACACCCACAGAATTTTTCATCCATCTCATCTTTTAGAGATGTCTCCATATTCCCTTTCGTAAGGGCTGGCGCCATTTATTTCTGGCAGAAGAAGGGGGCGCAATGGCTAAAAAGTCTCCAGCTTCCCTCCTCAGACTCTATGGATATTGAGCGTACCATATTTATGAAGATTTAAGGGGAGATTTTCATAGTAAACAATGGCAGTTAGGTACCTACCTCCTATGGAAAGTGAATGAGAATTAGGCACCTAACTACCGTTTGTGCCTTTGAAAATCTTCCGATTAGTCCGGCCAGCAATTAGTTACAATAGTTCAACTTGCAAGAGGTGCTGCAGCACCGTGCTACACAGGATATTAATCCTTAATCAGAGAGAAATTCTGAGATTCTTAACTAAGGGCAATGTTCCTCCTCAGGCATTTTAAAGATAGACTTGTTTTGACCTATGTTTTTAAATGTTTCTACTAACTTTGGGGGCCCACGTTAAGATTGATTTTAAGAAACAATAAGCGCCCACAACGACAGTTGGATTTTATGAGTTCTTGGAAATTTAGGCCCTACGTGCTTCAAAGCTGAGCACAAAAACATTGATGGTTTTGGAAATTTAGACCTTAATGTTTTGGAGTTGTACATTGATTTGAAACAAAATGCATTATGTCCAGTAGGTCTGTGCCATCCCAGGCTTCAAACTAAGAGCAATTACTTAAGTTCTTTTTTTTTTTTTTAATTTTCACGACTTTCATTTTTCTCTTCATTAATATCACCATGTGGGGAGGGTGGAAATCCAGGCTTTTTTTTTTTCTTCCCTAAAAAAACTATTTTTACTTCAAGAGAACAGGTTAGAACAAAATGTCATTTAGAAGTAGAATTTTTAGAACACGTCAATGTGTCATGGCGAGAACAGTGGGTACATTTTCAAATTTAATTTGTACTCTGTAGGTACAACGTTAACAGTTAAAGGTCTAGCCTGTGCTCTGCACTTACTCCTCATGCCCAAACCTCACTATGTGTATTGGCTGGAAGGTATTTCCCCCATCTTGGCTTCTGCTTTGAGTTTAGCAAGAGGCGTAATGAAATACAGGTCTGAGCACAAATCTTTCTGATGAACGTGTGCACTACAGAATATTTTCCATAAAGATGCAGCTTCCAGAAGTCAAGAAGCCACAAGAAGTGCTAAGATTTATAGGAAGTATCCCAACACAGTAATCGTGCCAATAACTTCGAGGCGGTCACTTCAGATGCCAATACAGCTGCTGCTATTTAAGCCTAACAAGTTTTTTGAGAGAGCTGATAAGGACACACACTGGGCCCCTGACATAACAAGAGGAGAACAATCCATTTCAGTCCACAAAAAACAGAACTATTGTTGGAGAACAATAGTCAACACAACCAGTCATTTCCTGGCACTGGTATTAAGCAGAAGATTCATCTTAAAAAACAAAACAAAAAACCAACCAAACAAACAAACAAAAAAGAGGGAGAGGAATGTGGCACAATATCCTTTGCTAACCTAGAACACCATTAAAGGGTTATAGAATTCAACCATGAATGGTGAAGAGGGATTGTCTGTACACTTCTCACAGTAAATGTGGCTGTTCTGAAAGAAATGGGTGGAGCAGGAAGGAATGCAAGCCTCAGGTTGAACAATAGCCTGTTTGTGCCTAACAAATTAGAGGGATTGTTCAATAACTTTTCATCCGTGTGAAAATGTAACACGTAAAATACTGCCAAGGTCAGCAAGACCTTTGGTGATCAGCTGTGCAAGTGCTTCTCATGCATGGCGAATTTCTTGCGGGCTGCTTTAACTTGGCACATTTTTCAAAAGACTATCAAAGTGCTGTACGTTTAGGCCAGTTCCTCCCCATTTTATACTTTCTCCAGCCCCTTCTAGACATTTCCCATCACCTTCCATTTCATCCTCCAACCTCCCAGTTTTCCCTGGTTATGTGTCTCATAAGTGCACCAATTTCTAGAAGGGAGAATGATGAATTTCATGTAAGTTAAAAGCAAGAGCCTTTTTATAGTGCTTTAGTGTCAATTACATGGAAGTCTGAGATAGGTGGCATGTAAGTATGATCAGAATAGGACCCTTTACATATAATCTCAAGTGAAGGATTTAGGCCGGATATATTTTTATAGAACATTTTAAAAAATAAAATGCATGAATAGAAAAAAAAAGGCATCATAATATTAAAAAGACATTTTAAACTTCCTTTGCTGAAACATTCATGAACCAATTGAACTATACCTGCCATTCAACCTTAAGGAACTCAGACCCTGCACTGAGAAAAAGAAACAAACCCAAACAAAACAAAAAAGCGACTGCATAATATTGTAACAATGGAGTGCAATGCTACTACAGAATGCAATAAAAACATTAGCGCTGCGTAGTCAAACAGCGCTTATCGAAATAATTTCTGAAATGTTTCCTCTGAAACACAGACAAAGCAATAAAAAGAGGATATATGTTTATCATTTTAAGCATAACAATGTGAGTTAAGAGCTTAAGAATACAAAAGTACTTGGAATGAATAGTGCTACCCTTTTTTTCCTAAGTAGGCATAAAAATATTTTCATTTCCTTCTTATTTTTCCATACCATTAATATCAACAAATGTCATTCATTTCATGTTATCGTTTACAACTTTAAATGCGCACGCACAAAAAAAGATACCTACTGCAATAGAAATAGTTGCTTCATTACCTTGTTTGCTACATTTGCAAATGTAAACAGCGAGGCAGAGCCAGAGCCGACTCTAATGCATGATGGAATATCTTTGTTGCATATGTACACGGTAGAAAATAATTATTCAATATGTCAGGCACCATTATTTGAAATGTAATACATTAATATTTACTAGAAAAATAAGTTTTTTTTCTATTTGTTCTCCCAACTTCTTTAATGAAATAAGTTAATCTGACAGTGCATCCAGTAGCTTGTAATATCTTCTACATCCCTGTGGCAAAATAATAAACTACTGGTTGGGACATTATAATGAAAAATTATTAAAGTCAGTTCTTTTATACTCTTGTAGCAAGCATGGAGGCTTGACAACAGCACCTTTAACCAATTGTTTAATATTTAGTTATTTAGCCCTATTTCCCTGAGCAGTTATGCTGCGGAGCTTTCCCTTCATGGATAGTTTTTACAAAGCTTTAAGTATTAAAAAGTACTATGAAGACATATTTAATGCTACTTAGCAAAAGCTGGTATAGATTTAGCGAAGAGATTGACTGGTACATATACCAACATTAAGTCTATGTAGAAGTAACTTTAGATTCCAAGGTTTAGAAAGCACAGGTAATCAGAAAAAAAAATACAGCAGGTTACCTTGTTCTATGCAAATTAAGCTCAGAGTGTGGCTTCTATATTAAAGACAATTTATTGGAGCAAAACGGTTTAGTCTACACTATGCCAGAAAAGGTGTAGTGATAAAATGGTAGCTAAAACTTGGTTGAGTCTGACAAATGTCTTGATGAAACCAACGCCAAAGCTCTGAGGACAAGGTGACACTAAGGCATGTTTTAAGGCAGAAATTAGCCCAAATTAAAAATACTAAATGACTTCTGGACATTTGTATATTTAAGAAGTCTATTTCCTATATACAGTGTGCATTTGTTCACTATACACCTGTCAGCAATATATACAAACATACATTTTTGTATTCTAGCCAGTTACATAATAGCAAAAGTTTTAGTTGTCTGGAAAAAAAATGGCCGTGAATATTTGTCCTGATTCATTGAATTCTAGATAGTTTTGGTGAGCCATGTACCAAATGATTATACTTTTTCCTCTCCGGCCACCATTCAATTTGTTTTTCCTTCTTGGTAACCCTCTCATTAATAATAATAACAATAATAATAAAATAAAAAACAAAAGAAAAGAGAAAAGAACAAGGTATTTTATATTGGATAAGGCATGCTCTCTATATGAAGTGCTTTATAGGTCTTCACAAGACATTACAAGCTATTGAATTCCCATCAAGGAAACCTATTTCTGTTTAATTGTGCTAAGTGCTAAGGTTTTACTCTTTAGGTTTTCCATTCTTTTCAGCTTGTGCATTGTTCCTGTGTAGGCCCCTCTGGATGTGAGTTGTAAAGTCATATTTGTCCGTGCAAAGATACTGGCATATGCTGCACTGGAAAGGTCCACTGTCGCCATGGCAACTCATATGCAAAGCATACATCACTTCATCCAGAAAGACAATGCCACAGTGCGCACACTTGGTTGAAAGTTCGTCTTGAGTACTTCTATCAACTTTCTCTATTTTTAGTACATTCAAGGGACCTTCATTTTTTACATTTGGTGGTGCCTTACTTTTCTCCTTGGAGGCACCATTTGCAGTTGGCCCAGGTCTGGAATGCTTTATCGCCAAATCTAGAGGAATGTCATTGTCTGATCCGACAGCTGAAAAATGAGGAGGCAGATTAAAGGTGGGATAAGGCACATAGTTTTGGCAAGGATTTGGTAGGCCAGGCACATGACTCAAGTAGTGTGGATTCCCAGGAACGGACAGCTTATATTTACTCCAGAATCTCAGCCAATCAGCTTCACTCTGAAAGTCATTGTGTACAAATGGAAGTCCAAAGAGTGGATACTGGTATTTTTCAATAGGGCTTCCAGGTGGTGAATAATTTGGGTGCTTCGCAGGTCTCATGTATTTTTCTATTGGGCTGCCTCTCTCTGAGCTTCCTTTCCCTTCTGATATCGATGAACTATTTCCTGGGTCTCCAGAACTTTCCTGAGGACTTTTTATCTGAATGTGCAAAGGTTGCATCCTTTTGTGAATATCCAGAGTTTGACTGACCAATATTGGCTGCTGAGAAGAATGGCTTTTAGTCAATGAACCCTGGGCCTCATATTTACTCAGGCTGGGAAGCTGAATTTCTCTCTGGTGACCTTCAGTTAAGTGATCATCTGACCTCCTCTCTAATGGGCTTCCATTGACTTGTTCCTCACCGCTACCCCTCTGATGTTTGTTTAGCTGCTCAGTCTGAAGTGCCTCTGGGTTAAGGCGCTTTCTTGTTCGTCTCCTAATGATCTGCTCACCATTGTTCTGCTTAATGATGTTTAAAGGCCTGGGAGTCTGCATGGAACACATACATAATAAATAAAAGAAACACATTAAGTAAGTCTTAGTGACAATGTTCATGCAAATCTAAGTTGTACTTGAGTTAAGACCCACATTACAGGAAAGCTTTAGGGAATGTCTACTTCTACCAGTAAACAAGGTCAGCTAAAACTTTGGAGGCAAACTCTTTATTTTAATAATAAAGCTTCCAACTGATGTTTATTGTTACCACATTAAATCTTCCATCTCATATCAGTTAACATACTGTATTTGTTTACTTAAACAGTCATTAAGTGCCCAACCCAATATGTGCTCAGTGCTCTCAACTCTCCCTGATGACAAGTTCTGTATAAGAGCTAGGTAGTATTTATCATTAATTACTTATTATTATTATTATTACTACTACTACTACTGCTATTACTATTATGTTGGGGAAGTCACGAGGAGTGGAAAAAAGATGAAGGAACCTCAGGAAGGGAGGAAGGTAGGACCACATCGAGTAAGGTAGAGGGACGGAGATACTGAAGTCTTCATCAGGACAGAGAGTACTTAGTTATCCATTTGCCATCTGCCCCAAAGATGCAGTGCATGTGGAGAGAGAACTATTATGAGAGACCTCTTATGTGAGCACTGAAAGCACTTTTATAAGAAGCAGAAGGAGCAGGGGGAGGGACCATAGTCAGCCCTCTCCACAAGAATGTGGTGAAAGATGGTGCTGAAAGATGATACATGCCACTCTATTGGGCAGACATTAAAGGAGAGCAAGAACAGTCTAAAAGTCATTTCAGTTCGGCATTCTGGTAGCTGATGTTGATCTCAACCAAATGTGCACAGAATCCTAGGGTCGCTGGGGGCCTACAGACTGCTCTATGCCCTGCCCACTTAGAAGTGTATTTGGATTTTTTCCCCTCTCCTTAATGCCATGTTAAAGTGTTGATTAAATTCTGGACTAAACTCAATATTTTGAACAACTGGTGCTATATGTGCTATATTATAATTTATATATCTATAAATGGATAACTTTAAATTAAGATTAAAAAGTCCAGTATTGGACTTCATTATTTTTATAGAGCTATTTTCTATCTCGACTTGCCATCTTCATCTCCCCTTTCACCTATTTCTCCCCCTAAAGTCGCCTCATTCTAATGGTTAATTGCATCCTAGCCACAGCTGCTACTTGTTAAGCTGTTACTTTCTATTAAAAATCTAAATCAGAAGAAATATAAACTTTGATTTAGACGTTTAATAAGTAGTAAAATTTTAACTCAGCGAAAGAGCAGCAACTGAAACAGAGTTACCTCTATGGGATAGCAGCAAGTCTAAAGTGGACAAAATTATGTTTAAGAGAAAATTAGAACATTGTAATATAGATATCATGCTATATATTGGATAATTTACATTATTAATAATCATTTAAACATGCATTAATAGGAATATATACTTTCTAATATTAGCTCAAGGATCTTTTCTCATCATTAAGACCATCCTAAGAATATGTCATAGGAGTAAAAAGGGTGCTCGCTGCTGTTGAACTTTGCTTCCTCTCTCACACTCTTCTTATTTACCCACTGTATTACATTTTCCTAGCAGTATGGATTCCTGATCTGGTTTGACTGCTTAAACAAAATATTAATTTTAACTCCTCATATTACAGATGTGTGAGCCTGTAAATGATTAACACACATGACTTTACTCATGTGAGAAGAGTTGTTCACAAGCCTACTTGCAGGAGCAGGTCTTTAAAGTTATATGTCATTAAGGGTATGTCTATACTGCAATCAGACACATGTGGCTGGGCCGTGCCAGCTGAGTTGGGCTCGTGGGTCTAGGGCTTAGGGGCTGTTTTATTATGGTGTAGAGATTTGGGCTTGGGCTGAAGCCTGAGCTCTGGGACCCTCCCACCTTGCAGGGTCCTAGCCCAAATATTTACACTGCAATTAAGCAGCCTCTTAGTCCAATTCCCGCGAGCGTGAGTCAGCTGGCATGGGCCAGCCACTGGTTTTTAATTGCACTGTAGACATACCCAAGTGTTTAACATATGTGCCTGATCCTGCAAATACTTAAGCATGTGAATTACTTTACTCATGTCACTGTTCTCCAACTAAATTAAATGGACTACTCGCTTGAGCAGAGTCACTCACAAACTTAATAGTTCACATGAATAGACAGCAAACAGATGGTCGATATTTATGGACAGTTCAAGATATACAGAAAAGTGGGATCTCATTTCTTAAACTATACTGGAGCCCTCAATTTGGTGAATAATAGAAAAAAATAGCAAATACTTTATTTAAAAAAAAATCTTAGATTTGTCAGATATATTATCACATCTTGTATATTATATTTTTATTATGATAATGTGATTTGTGAATAATTTGCCCAGCTCTCTACAGTTGGTCAAATTATTAAAAATGTGTGATTAATTTATTTTAAAAGTATCACAAAATTCACTGAATACATTATTAGACCTCTTTGCTGTTCAACATGATGTGAAATTGGGGTGACCTGACTATGCTAAAAGAAAGTACGTCTGATACTGAAGTTCTTACCCCAGTGCAACTCCCACTGAATTTGTCTGGGGATCTGATCTGACCTGAGTAAGAACTGTTGAGGTAGGTCATGTCATCCAAGGCTGATTAAGATTAGAGCGATGCAAAATGAATAAAAATACAATATAATTCATGGCAAAAGCCAAAATGGTTACATTCTGGTGTTTTGAGAATGGAGACACTATAGGAAAGAGATCCACTTTTTCGTGTTTACAAATCTGCACACTGTATATTCTTGAACATACCACATTTGTAGTGAGCTAGATACAATTTTCATCAATAAAAATGTTTTTAAAATTGACCAGTTGAAAATGACTATAAATGGTAAAATGATTGTGTGTATTTGTAGGTACCATGATGAATTTGTGAGGTTTTGATTGAAATGAGCAACAATGTGCACTGTACCATTTCTTAAAAATAATTACAAATTAATCAAGAGTATCATAGAAGTGCTAATGTGAACCACAGGAAAAGACACTAAAACACAAACATTTGCCAGTCACTACTAACAAGTGGTATTTGAGAGTTCTCCAACAAATTTTACCCAACACTGAACTGTTTTTGCCAAAAAATATAGACTCAGGTTGACAAAAACTCTTTTCGAACTTGCCAAATTGTTTCAATCAAAATCCCTCTTCCCCCACCCAAATAAAAAATCAGAAAAAAAATCAAAATGTTTTGTTTCAACATTTTTAAACAAAATGTTTCAATTTTTTAATGCAAACAATTATTTGTCTTGAATTTTATTTCAATTTTCTGTTTTGAAAAGGTACCACCTCCCCCAAATCTAATGAACAGAATGTTTCCTTTGACCTGAAATGAATTGTTTTGGAGGTTTCAATTTGCCAAAAAGGACAAAAAAATTCATTTTGGCTGCACCCCAAAATAACTTTTTTTTTTCCAGTTTGGACACCAAATCAAATAATTATTTTTTCAGACAACTCTATCTGAGATATCAGACTTATCTGTTATTTTTAATACAAAGTATCATAGTATCTTATATACAACTGTATGATTATCAGTGGCAAATATTGACATTATAATGGTAATCACTGTACATGTAGATATTAAGCATCTAATCAGAGTTTGGTGATTAAAGGTCCAAAGCTTGCAAATGTGAGTAATTTTACTCACAAATGTAATATTGTTTAATTTAATGGGTTTGCTTACATACACAACTCACTTTACTCACATAATTAAGTGCCTACAGGATTGGGCCCTTAGTTAACAATCACATATTCCTAGTCTTCTTTTATAAACAATCTGAGTAATGTTTGATTTTCCAATAATAATCACAAAAGTATATTCAACCTCCATTTTGTATGCAGAATAGAACTATGTGACATTTTCCCAGTTCATTTGCCAAAAAATGCAGTTTCAGCTTGACCAAAACTATTTGTGAATTCAAGTCAAATCTAGTGAATATTTTTAACCAAAAATTATTTTTGTCAAAATGTTTATTTTTTGACATTTTCAAAATGAAACATCTGACTTTTCATTCTGAAATGGCATTTAAGAAATGTATCTAGGTTTATTTTTAAAAACCAAACCAAACAAACAAATAAATCCACCCAGCAAACAAACAAATGAAAAAAAAAAAGCATAAAGGACACCCAAAAGTGAAACAAAACAAAAAGAAAAAAAAAAATTTGGTCGAACAAAATGCTTCGTTTGACCCAAATTTAAAATTTTTGTGTTTTCATTTCAGCAAGGAAAACCAAGAAAGTCCCATTTTCAGTCAACCCAAAACAATTTTTTTTCAGATTTTTGGTTCAGCCTCTGAACCGAAAAATCAATTAGATGTTCATCTTTAATAAAGAGATTTATATAGAAAACTGTATTTCACCAGGTTCATGTATTCTTTGTCAAAAGAAAGTCACAAGATACTGTATTTTGTTTAATAATGTTTAAGAAATTATCTCAAAAGAATTATTTTCTTATTTAAATTATTTCTTAAATGAAGTATCAGAGGGGTAGCCGTGTTAGTCTGAATCTGTAAAAAGCAACAGAGGGTCCTGTGGCACCTTTAAGACTAACAGAAGTATTGGGAGCATAAGCTTTCGTGGGTAAGAACCTCACTTCTTGCATCTGAAGAAGTGAGGTTCTTACCCACCAAAGCTTATGCTCCCAATACTTCTGTTAGTCTCAAAGGTGCCACAGGACCCTCTGTTGTTTCTTAAATGAAGTCAGTTTACACTGTAGTTGCTCAGTTATCATATCCTGGCAGAGTGGAAGTTTAATTATTTTTTTGGCCTTTGATTGGCCAAAGTTCAATTAAAAGCTTTAATGTCAGTGCCCATTAAACAGCAGCTTATTGCTATGCTTGAACAATGGAGCTAAAAAATAGTGTTATCTTTGCACAAGCAATATGCTAATAAATAAAGGGTTTATAACTTACTACCAATTACTACTGTTGGCAGCACACATTTTATGTGGATTATTTCCAATGGGTCATGGGGGTTTTATGAGGTCTTTTTATCTAAAAACTGAATCTTGTAACTCTGATCTATTCATTAGGTTGTACTGATAGTTATGGTAAAATACCAAAGGGTATCATTTATTTTTAATAATGAACATGAGATATTTTTATAGAACACACAAAAAACAGTCAAACCTAAATATCAGATCAGTGTTCAAATGCAGAATTGTCTTTCCCTTCAAAATCTCTTTAGCACATTCACAAGGCATGAATTTTCTTTAAAACAGAAAACATATTTGGAACTTGAGGAGAACTCCATGAGGATGTTGTATTCAGACAGTTCCATCCAACATGGTAACCACAGATCATTAGTTGCATGTCAGTCCAGCTTGTCCCAGGATGATGTTGTTTGACTGGTTGGGTTGTTTTGTATCTAAAAACTGTTCTACTTAACCCCAAATGACAGCATTTAGCAATTAAAGTTGACATTTTAGATTGCTGGTCAGGCTGCAATTAGAATATTGTAAAAAAAAAAATATTTTCCACAAAACAGCTGCAGTGGGACTTGAGTAAGCAGTAATGTCTGATGGCTTGCACACGGGACTGGATAAGATTTCCAAAAGCACCTGTGTCCCATTTTCAAAGTGACGTAGGCACTTACAAGCCAAAGTGGAACTGATATTTAATGGATCTTAAGATTCTATGTCACTTTCAAAAATGGGAAGAGGGTGTTTTTGAAAATTTTGCCCTGGCAACCATAAACTCAGATTTCTACTCTTGGCTCTGAGCCTAACTTCACACGTTGCCTTGGCAAAGTCCCAAACTCTTTACCTGAATTTCCCCATCTGTAGAACAATGATAATTAATCATTGCAACATCCCTGTGAGGTGGGTAGTTAGTTAATGGGTCCAATTCTGCTCACCTTCCTCTCCCAAGTAATTCCATTAAAGTTAGTAGCAGAATTCATATAAACTCATATTTGACATTTGGGTTCCATCCTTGAAAATTCTGAGTACTTTGGCCCCAATCCAAAAAAGCACTTAAGCATGGCTTTGCTGAATCACTACCAGAGCGCTCAGCACCTTTCAGGATCAAGCGCAATATCTGAAAGATGGGAAGTAACATAGATAACCAGTGATGATATTATTACTTACTTCATGCCCAATCTAATAAAATGCTGAATTTTACCCCTGCAAAGTACTGAATGCCTTCAATTGAGCAGCTTCAAAGAAAGTTGAGGGCTCTCAGTATTTGCAGTAGATTATAAGCATCACACAGATTTGGGCTCTGTATATAAGGAAAATAAAACAATACAACTGTAAGATATTTATTAAAAGAAGGGAAGGGGGGAAAAGAGAAAAATACAATTATATAGGCAAGAAGCAATGTTTCTATTTCTGATTTCTAATTTTAGAAACTTTTTTTCTGGACTCCTACATAAATATGAGTTTTGTTCAATTTGGAGAGCTTTTGTTACAACATACTGTATGTCTTTAAATGAAATTCCCAGAAAGGAAACCAGTTTTCCTTATTCTGTATCAAAATAATTAAATGCATCACTGGTGATCTCAAACATGTCTCTCCACAGCATCCCAGCTTGTTTCATAATGAATCACATCTGATCCCAAAGTGACCATACTGAAAAAAACCCTGTTAGGAAATTAACTGCAGGCCAGGGAGTGGTAGTAATCATACAACCAGACAAGACCACAACAGCCCAGCTTCAGCTTAGCTGTATAAACCTTTTTCCTGAACAAACTAGTAAGTTCTTCCTACCGAATGAAGCTTCTGATAGAGGCCACACGCATTGCATACATATCCACCATTTGCATTCTTTCGCCAGAGAGAGGTCTTTGTGGTCAGGCAATTGGCACAAAAAACTCCTGAGCCTCTACGTCTCTGAAACAGGAAGAAAAAAAAGAGATAGGTCAAAGGTGAGTCACATGATCTGCGGAGTTAGGACAAATCAACACAGGAGTTTTGTCTCTTGACTGGCAACAATGACAGTATAAAACCACACTTCCCATAATGAGGTCAGGTTCAATTGTGCTTAATAGGCACCACTGATTTTCATTATAATTAACCCTACAGTGATGGATGAGGTGTGTGAAACACCAAAGCCTTTTCAGAATAACAGCTTTAACTTTTTGAACTTTAGGTTTTGTGACTTTAATGTTGGTTTCTAAATACTGAATTCTGAAATACACTCTTTTGAAACTGACAGTAAACACTCTGCAAAGTTTTGCTGTTTTGTTCACTGTACTTCCATTGCAAAACATTTTTTTTTGTTTGCTTTATTTCAAAGTGCGATCAGCAACAAGTCTAAAAATACATCATTTCCAATTAATTCCAGTTTGCATCTGCTCGTACCAGTTCCTGTAACTGAGCTTATACTTCATTAACAGAATGCATGACTTTCAATTACAGTCTTTCCCACTTAATTCTAAAATCTGCATATACTGCCACATATTTCCCACAGCCAACTGAGAAGCAGGAGTAACCTCTGCCAAACAAATAAGAGTACAGTGATACTAATGAGACATCTTTGAACTTCATCCGAAACCCAGACAACATGGTCTCATCAATGGATTGATTTATTTATTTTATTTTAGTCTGACAAAGAAAGACACGGAACAGTTCCTCCAAATACAAATTGATTTTTAACCCAGGCTGAACTCTGCATTCATCAACTTTAATAATGCTCCAAGAATATTTAGAAATAGACACGTTTATGAGTATTGCTTGTTACATTTTTTCTATGAAATAATGATTTCATTAAACTTCTCATTTAAACAAAAGTAAGGCTGTGTTTGTGGGCACAAATACTAACAAGCAGGAAATGGAATTCTTTAGCTGAAAAAGAAATCTGAATTTCAACTCTGCTCCCCACTTGCAAAGAAAAGAATTTAATAAGAAGTCTTCATGTCAGATAAGAATGGGTTGGTATGGGGGAGAATAGTCTGGGTGAAAACTAATTTCATTATAAATTAAAAATTACTAATACTATAACTCAGAATTTCAGGGTTTCATAAAATTTAAGTAATTTATTTAACTTTAATCCATACTGTGGAAGAGTGGTATTCATGCCAAAAAAATACAATGGTTATAATTGTACTCTGATACATTTCAAATGGAAAGCTTTCTGCAGACATAATTTTGGCTTCAAGACTGGAACACTTTCTTGGCATTGAAAGGGCATTTGATTCATCGGGTGTTTCACAATGTATCACTAAAAAGACCTGGTGAGCAGCCAGTTCCCTATAGGGTAATTTTTCCATCCAGATGCAAGTGCTATCAGAGGCCCTCGTCAGCTAAACTAATTATGATCTTGCATTTGCTGATGCCTGCTCACTCTAACGTTCGACATCCTCCATTAATCATCAATACAAGGAAAATGAATGAAACGTAAAGAAACGAGGGCCGGTAAGCTGCACAGCCATAAAAATCTGAAATGAGTGCAATAATTTAACAAGATTGGGGAAATGTTTTTAGTGAGCACAAAGTCAGGCGAACAATTGCCCTTTTAAACCAAGAACACAATTTTGTTAGTATAGCAGATTGTGCTACTTTAAGGTGATATAATCAAATCGAGATGGTTATCGAGATAATCTCTCTTTCACCCCCTCACATCATCCCCTTACTCCTTCCCCTAAATCAGAATCAGCTTTTTCTAAATCTGGATGCTACAAGTCCAAACTATATTCGACAGAGTTCAGCAAATGCTCAACATAGTGCATTTGTTAAACGTAATCCATGTTGGGAATGCATGTTTACCTAATAAGTAAATAACTGCATCTCATTTCTTTTGTGGCTACCCAACCAGCTTATCTTTGCCAAACTTCACCTGGCTGCCAAATTATTTTCCTTAGGGTGTAATAAAAGTTTCACTAAACTAACTCCAATTTGGTCCATATGAAGGTTTCTAAAGCAAAACAACTTTATATGGCCAGGATGCAGATTCTATTGCGGAACCACTGTATTATTCCTGGTTTTTCCTTCTTGAGAGTATGAGTTCTTGCTGTGGTGTGTTAAAGAAGGTGGAGTATTAATTTGAGTGAGTCTATCCACCCTTTTCACTGCCCTGTGCCTGATGGCTGCATGCAGCAAAATGCCCTCTAACAAGGTAATGGAAGACATAATATATATAAAATTATGACAAGGTAACCCAGGCTGTAGCATGTCCAAATAGCTTTCTCACATATATTAATCGTGGAACCGAAGGTGCACAGAACTCATGGAATATTTACACCCCACCCTTTGTTAGGCTCTATGACATTACTGTAGCACAACATTGCTCAAAAGAGTAATTTTAATTATTATTAATAAAGAAGGAAGATCCTGTCAAGGCTGTACATTAATTCCAACAAAATAAGATAGTGCTTAGTTTTGAATAAGTCCCCAAATCTATAGAAAACAGAATCACAAAAGTTATATCTCTGCTGACTTGGTAAATACATTTTTTTTAAAATATTTTTTGAGATTTTCAAAGCAGTGCAGGGGATTCAGCTATACATCCTCCACTATAATTAATTGAAGATATGTGGATACATTCCCTGCACTGATCTGGAAATTGCAATTACTACCTTTAATTCATTTAGATTATTTTTTTTACATCTTATTTCTATGTCACTTTCAGTTCATAGTAAGATAATCAGAGATAATCTTCCTTCCATCTGAGGATCTCAGTATGCTTTAGAAACATTAATGAATTAACCCTCATAACATACCAACAAGGCAGGTAAAAAAATATTATCCATATTTTTTTAATACCAGTTGTGAAGCAGACACACAGAAATTTTAAATTGACTTGTTTGAGGTCACTTACGAAGATTGTGGCAGAGTCAAAGCTCCTGACTCCAGTTCTGTTTATTAACCAATAGACATCCTTCATCTTAAAGTATAACCAAGGTATCATGCTCACGTCTTGTAATAAAACAAGGCAGCTATTTTTATAAGCATACATTTGTTTACCTTAAAAACATCACCGTTATGTAGTTTTCTTCTCCTAATGAAACCAGTCTTTTAACAAAGAAAATATAAAAGTATCCTTTTTGCTCTCTCCAGATAGTTTCTGTTGTTTTTAAAGTTTTATAAAGGCTGATGTCCAGCACAGATTATCAAAAATATTTACTTTGTGTAACTTTTGTTTTTAACCCATATGTGTTTTTATGGCTTGAACCAGCCTAGTTTTTAATATACAACCTTTGTGTTCGCTAGTAACTTCCAGTGATGATGGCAAATTCATAGCATGGATCCTTTTTCTATGTCCTTTGTTAAGGAGCAGTCATTATAGCCCCAGGTCAGCAAAACACATACTTAAGTTCATCCCTCTGCAGCATAGCACTTATGTAAATCCTTACGGCCATCTGACTTAAATAAGACTTATGCATGTGCTCAAGTGCTTTGGTGAATATGGGCCTATGGCAGCAATTAATAGAAATTTGTTGTATTCTGTTTTGGCCTTTCCTTCTTATGAACACATATGCTATCATAGCCACAACAGTGTCACAACAGCAGCCTGGGAAAATGATAGTGACATAACCAGTCATAGGGTTTGAACCACAGACAACAGGTCTAATTCTTCAAACAATGCCACCAATAGTAATTGGAATTATCCATGTAAATGTCCTGTACATTCTTGGGAGAATAAATCCAAAGGGTCTAAATAACTAAAATATGTGTCTACACAATCAATCTTCAATCGTCTGTATCCTTATAAGCGCTATATAGTAATCACAAATCCTGAAGGGACCACTATAGTTAGGAGTCCGTCACTGTTTCCATTCCAGTTCCTAGATTTGGGTGTTTAATATCTCGGTTGTCTCAAATCACATAGGGCTGAAACTTGGCACACAGGTTTGTCAGCCCAGATGTGGCTATTTTTTTGTACTGAAAACTTTATTTAAATCAGTTCAGCTGTTTATAATATGGAGACTGGCCAAAAATGAAAAAAAAAAAACCCTCAGGTTTTTAGAAACATTTTGACAAATCTAGGGCTGTAAAGGCTTAGTTTTAGAAAAAAGAAAAACATCTTCAAATCTGACTAGCAGCAAGACAGCCACATGGTTTATTATTTTGAGGGGAAATACTTTTATACAATTAAACTATGAAAGTTTGTAATTAGTCACTGAGCATGTGCAGTAGATCATTCTTTCTAACTGTTTTCTATGAATAGGAACCATATTGAAACCATGTAATTGCATAACATCCCTTGATATGCAGATTATTTACTCACATTTTTTATGGTTTCATATCTTGGCCGTTTCAAATCAAATCAGTCTGAAACTTGGCATACATGTTGTCAAGCCTGAATTTCCCCCACATATTTGTTTATCTCCTTAAGCTATTCTTCAGTTTCCAATACTTTATTTAAAACAGAACTTAGTATCAGTACTTTTTAATAATTATAAAAACAATATATAATATCAAATGAATAGCCCCAGTCCATTCATTAGGAGTATTTGCAGAATCAGGTCCTTGTTTTAGAAAAGTAATAATGCGCACTAAATAGTACTTTATAATTAAAAAAAAACAGTGCAGCTTAGTACAATTTGTGATTAGAGCTTTGCAATTATTCTAGCAGTGTCACTATGCTTTATGCTTGTTACACAAGCACTTAAAATATAATGAATTTATGCAACTTATGGGACTTAGCTTAGAACACACACCTCTTTCGCCCCCCTAACAACATAGCCAAAACTACTGCTTAAGAACTTTTGGGCTTTAGCTAGCTAGACTAAGTAAGGGTTCTAATACTATTCTGGTACCAATGAAAGACATTCCTCCTTTCAAAATTCATGTCAAAGGATGCTTTTTTAAAACTCAAAAAGGCTCCACAGGCATCACCCAAACATTTTTCTTTCATCACCAGTCTTGGCCTGCTTTGCTGATTACTTTCA